GGAACTGGGGGGGCAGGAGGGGCAGCCGCCCCTGTTGCCCTTTACCAGGAGGGGCAAGGGGGGCAAAGGTGCCCTTTCAATTTAAAGGATTGCCTTGGCGAAATAGCGAATTGTCAGAAATGTTAGTGCAATTTTTTTACGAATTTGCTTCAGAAAACGCAAGAAATGCAGTCATCGAGCTTCAAGAATAGCACAATCGCCTGGCGGAGGACCCCCTCACACCCCTATCATCCAATAAATAAAAACATGATTAGGAAAAGTTCAACTCCCGATGTTTTGCAAACATCTCTTGGTATATATCAATTCAAAAGTGCCCTTTCACGAAAATCTGCCCCCCTTGCCTTCACATCGTTCCGGCGTCCCTGGAGATGTTTCCAGTTTTATGCTAGCTAGGTTCAATGCCACGTCTTCAAAAATAGCTGAGGTATTGCGGGTTAATAGTGTGCTTTAATTACTCGACAAGAAATACATGTAAGGGGCAAGGGATATTGGTAAACAAGTATGTTTACAAGTATGTTTACCAATCAATCCCATTTCCTTTTAATTATAATGGCCACTGTGGTCGAAGCATCCTATAACACCTAATTATTATTTACTCTCTAACAGCAGATGATCTTACTCATCAAGGGCAATTTTGGACCTTGATGAGTAATACACATACACAAAATACTAAACTGTTTCATTACATATTTTATGTCTGGACCTCTGACGTTGCAACAAAATATAGGTTTGGGTGGGGTAAAAAATTTTTCCAGCATTCCACCGGTGGGGTAGCTAGAAATTTTGTTTCAAAAAAGGTGGGGTAATGATTTTTTCCGGCTGCATTATACTTTCTCTTCAGCCCCCACCCTTGCCATAAATAATGACCGGTCCCTTAATTAAGTGCATCTCCACCATTTTGAAAAATAATTCCAGTGCATCATATTGCCCAATAATGAATTATCTCGGTCCATGGGTTATAATGGATTAATAATCGGGGTGAAATTTCACATCAAAATAGTCAGGATCAGTGAGTGAAATTATGTAAATACGCATTCACCTAAGGCTAAGTTTAATTAAAATAACGTACATAATACTGTGCATATTTACTGCCGTGAAATAGTGCAATGAGAGGGTAAGGAAGTTAAAAATTAAGCAGAACAATGCCACATAATTTTACAAAACGTCCTGCCAACCTCCCTCCCAACAACAATAAATGAACAAATTCACATTAAAAACCATCATTCAAAAGGCTAAACTTTGCCTTCGACATAAACTAATACCGATATTTGGGAGCTGTTCATATATGAGCCAGGCGGCCCAGGCCAGACTATGGCTAATAGCTGGGATGAATCGTGTCACGAACCGCTTATTTTCCTGACCATAAAAGGTCGTTTGAATTAACTTTATGTTACTGGAATCAAACAGCTAATTCAACTTTGAAAATGTTTGATGTTTATAAAAGCCACGATAAGAGCTTTATTAAATGAATCATCCCGGTTGAACGGGTCAGTCCAGCTCTATATATATGCATGCATGAACAGCCCTTTATTTAATGAAATTAAATTCTTCATCAGTGCTATTTTACATGGTCTGCACTAGACTCGCTCCAAGTCTCTCTTTGTGGACATCTATATATTGTACATCTATATTGTACGTTACATGACGTACCGCTGAGGGGGAGAGGAGGAAAGAGAGACTTGTAACATCTGGCAGCAGACATACTTCCGGCTGGTCAATTTCGACCAGCCGGAAGTCGATGGCCGCATTGACTTATCATGTGTTTAGGGGGGGGAAGGCGACATCTGGACTTTCAGAGTTATTTGTTTAACATAAGTAATTTTGTATTCACGAGATTTCTTGTAGATTTCACATCACTTTTGACTGCGTGCATTTGGAATTTTGGGCATTATTTTTGCAATTTATTGTAAACAACGATCATAAGAAGAACGGATAAATTACAAATCAGCCGTAATCGTCATAAACCTCGATGATCACCAGTGTTTTTGTGTTTGACAATTTGTATTTCATTAGATATTTATATGCAAGGTCAGTATAAACGGGTTATCATATAAAATGATCATTCTAATGAATGAATTGATAAAACGAATTATTTCTAATATGTACGGCCGCGTTTTTTACACGGCCACTACTGAAACGTTTATCTTGATTGTTGAATAAATCGATGACTTGCTTAGTTGCTTTCTGCTTTGAGCGCAACCACCGTTTAAGCTAAACGGGCTTGATACAACTGGCCCCAGATAAACATTTTTGTACTATCGAGATCGAAACTATAGTAAATTGGAAACCGTGTCAATAATAAAAAACGTACAATGAACTTATGAACATGCGAAAATTGTCACGCCCAAAATTTATACAAATGTTTAAAAAATAAACATTTGTATAACACGGTTTCCAATTTACTATAGTTTCGATCTCGATAATACAAAAATGTTTATCTGGGGCCGAGTCTGGGGCCAGTTGTATCAAGCCCGTTTAGCTTAAACGGTGGTTGCGCTCAAAACAGAAAGCAACTAAGCAAGTCATCGATTTATTCAACAATCAAGCTAAACGTTTCAGTAGTGGCCGTGTAAAAAACGCGGCCGTACATATTAGAAATAATTCGTTTTATCATTTCATTCATTAGAATGATCATTTTATATGATAACCCGTTTATACTGACCTTGCATATAAATATCTAATGAAATACAAATTGTCAAACACAAAAACACTGGTGGTCATCGAGGTTTATGACGATTACGGCTGATTTGTAATTTATCCGTTCTTCTTATAATCGTTGTTTACAATAAATTGCAAAAATAATGCCCAAAATTCCAAATGCTCGCAGTCAAAAGTGATGTGAAATCTACAAGAAATCTCGTGAATACAAAATTACTTATGTTAAACAAATAAGTCCAGATGTCGCCTTCCCCCCCTAAACACATGATAAGTCAATGCGGCCATCTACTTCCGGCTGGTCGAAATTGACCAGCCGGAAGTATGTCTGCTGCCAGATGTTACAAGTCTCTCTTTCCTCCTCTCCCCCTCAGCGGTACGTCATGTAACGTACAATATAGATGTACAATATATAGATGCATGTCCACAAAGAGAGACTTGGAGCAAGTCTAGGTCTGCACTTGACAACAGGTCACCTGACAATTGAAAAAATCATATTCTTTTCACTTTTTGTGCCATTTTATTTGTGTATAACATTTACGTATATAGGCGCAAAATTGGCATACATTAAAAAAATCATTCACGCTTATCACTATCAGTGAAATCATGGCAATGGCTAAAAGGGATGCGTGGATGAGAGGGAGGTTTTCAAGACAGCTCAAAATTTAAACTCGGAGTTCGCTTTAGTTTAGGGTTAGAATTGGGGTTAGCTTTAGGGCACGTATAAGCTCTAAAATTAGGATGGAAATGGAAATAGCTGTGTAGTATAAATAGATAAGAGATATTACACTGTATATAATAGAGATTTTGGCAACCGCAATAGCAACAGCAGAAGACAAAATTACTTACATTTTTGTTTGCGAACTAAAGCATATACATTACTGATTTTATTAGTTGCCTTCCATAAAAGTACTTATATTATCTTTCTTTTAATTAAACAACTCTTAAGAAGCAATACAGCTATAGTAGTCGGTGAATTCACTGCATAAAACAGCGTTTGACCACCGACTCTCATCAACGTTGAATTGGTTGAAATTTTCATGAGAGTTGAAGAGAGTTTTGGCTACGCGCGCGGTAATATCCAGTCAATTCTCGTTTGACCAGGGCTTATAACTGTTGGCGTGTTTATGAGCCGTGAAAATGTGTAAATAACGTAGTAGTTTGAACAACTACGGTGCACTAGAATTGCTAAAGGGAATTCAATTTATAGTCACCTTTGTCTAAAGCCTTAAGGCTGTTTTTTTCAAAGTTTCTGTGATCACAGAAGGAATTTTGCATACGCTAGTAAATTCTAAGTTTTGAAGGATTTATAAGAAATGTTTGAGAGCGCACACGATGAGATTTTAGTCGGCCGATAAAAATCTTTGACATACCGATATACATAACATCGGTATACTCCGCACACGATTACGAAAAAAATACGCTCCCTGAACTGTAGCCGCCATGTTGCCAAATAAATACAAGCACGTGATCACAGCATGAAATCTGATTGGTTGTACTTAAAATTCCACCGATAAAAATCGTATAATATCAAAACGTTTTGATGTTGTCCGATTAAAATCGAGCAACAAAAATGGGTTAAAAATGACACCGCACACACAACGATTTTGTTAGTTTTAGTCAAACGATTTTTATCGGCCGACTAAAATCGCATCGTGTGCGCCAGGCTTAACACTAGACTTTGAATGAAAGCAAAATTTATCATTTAATTTTATTTTGTTTTTGCTTGGCTGGAAGCGTAATTCTAACATTCTTCGAAAAGTTAAATTTTCTTTGGACGTAGGTCAGTGTCAGTGTCATAGTTTGCGTACAATAGTGACGATGTCGGACGTAAATGATTGTTTACTTGACGTTGGAACAGATTATAATCGAAACATATTATCAAAGCTGATATCGCACCGCAGCTAATTGTATTAACGGCATGCCAATATTCAATGATGAACCCACAGCCACGCATCTTAATTTAAAAAAAAATCCATCGCAAAAAGTTGGGCGTGCATCCAAAAATTTCTCAACTCGTAAATTTTGTAAGTTAGAACTGTGTCAAATGGAAAACACAAAATATTATGCGTCTTCCGGCATAAGATATTTGTTGGCGTTTAGCTTCTTGCTGATATTGGTAGACCACAGTTCAAATTCAAATTTAAAGAAATGATTAAAAATACAAGGCTGGCAAGGACATATATGGAGTAGTTTTGCCGCTTAGATGTTAACTAATTTATAATAAAACCTTAGTTTGGGGGAGTATAGATATAGTAATTAGCGCTAACATCCTTCATTCCGTGGTATGTCTTGAAATTTCCATGGAATGTGATCGTGCATGCCGTGATTCGTTTGAGAATTCTTGCCACTGAGAAAAGTCAATATTGATTTTACGTTTTCATGTTGATTTTTGTCTATATTATACATTTCCCATCATCAAAATGAGACGAAACTTGTTGAAAATTAATCACAACGTGAACGTAACTTTCGATCAAAGACTTAATACCAGACTAAATCTGATGACTGTGCAACACATGTCCTTCCCAGAGATACTAAACCGCTTTTTACCATGACGTCAGTGTTACAAAAAAAAAGAAGAATCATATTGAAAATAGGAAGTTTCAATGACAATGCCACTAAAAGTACTGACAGTAGTATATACACACTCCATATAGACCTTACGAAGTCCCATTAGCGAAGAAACACCTATTGTCTATCGAGTATTATTTTAAGTACTCGCGTGGCTATACTTTCGGCTCATAAAAGAAAGCAAAATAATGGCGATAAGCGAAATAAATACTAAATAAATAATGAGTGCTATTCTTAGCCGGCAGACACAAAATCTGCAGTTGTGGCTTTAGACCGAGAACGACGAGTGTGGCTAATCTCGGTTGGGCTCAAACGACTCAAAGACAAGTGATGCACGCTATCATAAATTTTGACAAGACGGAGGAAGCAATGAGCATTTCTTGAACAAGACAGAATCTGCGCATTTATAACCTTCAGACGACTTGAACACTGCAGTGCTCAAAGACGTGTGCTTGATCTTGGACGTGAGAAAATTCGTTATATTACAGTATAATCCCATCAAGAGGATTTCACTTTATTTTTAGCTTTTCGAAAGGTACAATATACCATAGTTGCACCGGAATGAACACGACAACATCGCCTACCTACGACAACTTACCATTCTCGGCAAAATTGTGGCTTTCCTTGCTTCTCATTTTACTCAACGTGTTTACAGTTGTAGCCAATCTTCTCGTAATTGGAATAGTTTTGGCAAACCATCGTCTACGGAAATGTACTAACTATTTAGTAGTCAACCTAAGTTGTGCAGACTTACTGTTTGCATGTACATCATTTCCATTCGTTATAGGTTCGTTTGTGAACAATAAACAGAGCACAGACTTCAACCTTTGCCAGTTTGTCGGATTCTCGGACTCATTTTACGCCACGTCCGCATCATTCTCTGTGGCAATTATCGCGTACGAACGGTATTACTCCATAATTCACTGTCTCCACTATGAACAGTCCATGATGAATCGGAACACAAAACCTGTTATTGTAGCGGTCTGGATAGCTTCGTTGCTAATATCTTTAGCACCGTTACTTAAATGGGGAGGTTTCGGTTACGAACGATATCAGTACAAGTGCACTTTAAGTTTAACATACGATAAGGGCTATTTCTTCCTGAAAATCATTGTGACATTTCTTATCCCTCTGACCGTTATGTTGGTTTGTTATAACTGGATATTCCTGGTTGCAAAACGACACGCCGCAAGTATCACTAACATCGAAATTCGCGTTCAAAATGACGTTGTCCATGGCATGCAACGAAATAAATTAAACAAGAAGCACCATACGGGATCTGTCTTTATCACAATAGTGGTTTACATCGTTTGTTGGCTTCCAATAAACATTCTGTATCTTGTACGAAATCTCAAACCATCAATAACGATTCCCGGCGCAGCCCTTACTGCCAGTTGTATGTTATCGTTACTGTCAAGTGGTGTCAACCCGATCGTATACGCTTTATGCACAGGGAAATTTCGAAAAGGAATTACACGATTATGTAACAAAATGAGGTCTCGGAAAAGATCAGTGGCACCCTGCAAGAGGAACTCCCCTGGGACATGGACATTGTCAAGTGCTCGTTTCTCAAGACGTGGTTCAACGTCACATGCGAAATTCTTCTACAGAAGCGAGAATAACGTGGATAAAACAATTGAGCTGGATACAGCCGCTAAACAGACTGGCGTTCTGTTGGATGTGCAAAACCTGGAAAAAGGTCCACGTCTTTTAAGTCCGATTGAAATTAACGACAACTTTTTGACCGTTTCAAAACGAACATCTCCAACAGAAACCAAGCCAAGATATCCAGAAACTGACAGTACTAACAATCCTTGTCACAACAACTAAAGCCCGGATCAAACTTGGATGAGAGTTGGCAGTCACGTGACCTTGGTTAGCTGTTCTTAATGCTTTCCCAAGACTATCATGTATTCTATTTAAGTGAAAACAACATAGCTGGAACCCTCATCAAATCTTTATTTTGTTAATCTAGAGCCTGAAATAACTCTTCGTGTACACATTGCAAACCAATTTTAAGTTTACGAACACTTAAAGTGGGTGATATAGTCAAATGATGTCAACCGCAGCGTTTTTCGCAAATATCGTTAATGTCAATCCAAAATTGATAAAGCCAAAATACACCTATGGCGTAAGCCAAAAATTCAGATTTTTACCGTACGTCTGGTTTTGAACAGAACTTTTGAAACATTTTAATAGAGAGAAACTTCAATTTGTTTTTTTTTTGAAGCTTGGCAGTTGCTATGATTCACACTTAAATTCTACATAGAAAAATTGCGAAAAGAATAGTGTTCAAAACCGGAAATGCGATAAAATCGGGTATTTTTATTGGTTTCTCGACGGGTCTTGCATAATGACAGTGCAAAGCCTATTTAATATTGTAACGAATCCACGCTAAAGTGTTCTGTATACAAAAGTTAGGAATTAAATGAATTTAAAATTATAAACTGTTTATTTTTTTAAATCATCTTAGTAATTATCTTTGTGAAACTCATTTATAAATCATGAAAGAAACTGAAAAGAAATGAATGTTTAATGAGATCTTGTATCCACATATACAAAATTCTCTTGATTCGCATAACAGTTTTCATCGATTTTCTCATTTAAAAGGATCTCTACAGTTTTGTTGTAAAGGCACAGTTCAGCCTTTTGAATGATGGTTTCTGAGGCGCATTTCAGTCCTTTTAATTGAAAAAACTAACTATAGCTAGGAAAATCAATTAAGCATAATTCAAGATCAGCAAACTTAATGATTTTAACAGGGTTCGTAGTCTCCAAGACCAAAAAAATTCAAAGACTTTCAAAGATTTTTTCTGCCTATTTTCAAAGACTTTTCAAAGACCTTTGAGAACAATCATGTAGCTGTCGAAAACTTGCGAGTGTAAGCACCATATTTTTACCCAGTATAATTAGTCCCGTCAAATCACATCCTAAAATGCGCATTTTCGTCGATATTTGCGAAAATCTTGATTCAATCAATCTATTTTATTAGTTAGGAAATCGTATAATCAATTCTTCACTAAAGAATTTAAAGACTTTTAAAAACTTTCTTCGCTTTTTCACACAATTTAAAGACTTTTCAAAGACCTCAAAGACCTGCATTCCAATTTAAAGACTTTCAAGGATTTCAAAGACCGCTACGAACCCTGTTTAAGATTTTAAAACATTTTTATTGTCAAAAACATTGAGTTTATTGATCTTGAATTATGCATAATTGATTTTCCTAGTTACTTTTGGCAATTAAAAGGCCTGAAATGCGCCTAAAAAACCTTCATTCAAAAGGCTGAACTGTGCCTTTAAAACAAAACTGTTGAGATCCTTACGTTTCACAAGATATATACAACATTCACGTCCGTGTTGTATCAGACATACAACATCTCGACTTCGGCTCGAGTTTGTATATCTGATACAACACGGCCGCTCAAGCATAAAACGTCTTTAACGATACAGTTCACATGTTTTGAAAATGAACATTACATTATTAAAGGCTCAGTGTCACCTGTTGAGCAATGTTATTTAAGGCACGTATTATATACAAACATATTGATTTTCTACACGAACCTTTTCAAACTGGACTATGTGCATATGCTCAGCAGTAAATTTTAGCAATTAAATAACATCGCTCAACAGGTGACACTGATGATATTGCGGGCTCAAATTCCTGTTGGCGGCCATTTTATGGTCCAAGCAATCCATCCTTTGAGAATGCTTGCTTCTTTTATCTGATTCTTATTGGGAATGTACCAAACATGGTATTTTTATCGTTACTTGTTGATTTTGGGTAAGATAAAAACAATAACAAAAGCCCGCGATACCATGGTGTGATACTATCCTTTAAAGTGTTACGTCAAGTTTTCTCTAAAAATTGTTCGCTGGGCTTTATAACATATTCACTTGTAAATTACGTTTTCCGCCTGCATGCACGGTATCTCTATCGCTACAATTTTGCTAGAGTTCGAATATATGCTTACTAATTTGGATCATTTCTTTCAGTTAGAAATAGGCAATAGCTAAAGAGGTTGTCCGAGACCTGTTCAAAGATGTCCGAAGTACAACTAATAACCTCTGCGATGGCGAGAGAACCGTTTCGATAAAACGTTTATAGCTAGCGTCGCAAGATTCTAATTTGAAAACGCGGCACTAAACCATGCCGTATAGAATATGACCCATGCGCATTAATAAGAAGGTGTATAAGAAGAGGCAGACATCTTGCATCAAGATATTTTATGTCCTATATAAGAAACGAAAGCCCGGAGAAATTCCGGTTGTTTTGCACGAGACTACGGGTTAATATTCACTAGTATATAGACGCAGGTCATCCAATCTGACGTGGTTAAGTTTCGCATTCAATTTCGCATGATTTCCATCAGGCCAATGGGTGATTCCAGCTTTAGACTAAATTTTGATCAAGGCAAGAAGAGCGAAATCCAACACCACAGCTAGAAAGAGCGTCTTAGAATGACTACTACTGCAACGATTGGTTGCTAAATGTTGTAAAATAGCCCTGTGAAGTTCGTAAATTTTGTATGTATTTGTATTACGCGCGGCAAAGATAACCACTTTCGGTTAAAATGGGGTTTTTTCCCGCGCGTAATGCAAATATATCCAAAATTTGCGCACTTCAGAGGGCTATACTTTCCTCATTTTACAACAATTCGCAACCAAACTTTGCAATTTTACTCATTTTAAGATGCTCTTTCAAGCTATGGTAATGGATTTCGTTCTTCTTGTCCAGATCAAAATTTCGTCTATGGCTAGAATCATCCATTAAAAAAATAGTTGGTTATCGTCCCTGCCCGCCCACAAAAAGAGCCCGCGCAGGATTTTTTATTCACAAAAAACAAGTTTTGCCGACGTTGAAATTTAAGATTTTCGTGAGTTCCTCTGTAAATGGTGCGTCACTCGACATTGTAGAAGTACAGTATAAAGCAGCCCTGATATAAAGTACCTTGTCATAGGTTTATTTCGAGCATATCTTTATATACAGGACAACGTTTCGCAAAAGTAAAGGGAACTGTGACCAACCATTTTTTGTCTGGCCTTATACCAGTGGCCATGCATATCATCTAGTAAAAATGCCATTCAAGTAGAAACTGGAATGGGCTCATAGCTATCCCGATATCCGACAAGTTTGATCTCCAACCTACTATTACTCAACTCCTTCGTAAACGTCAACATCAAAATAAGGAAATTAAATACCAAGAGCCATTCAAATGCATTGCCAACCACATGAACTGTATAACCTGGATCATCCGAATGCCAGTACAATTTATTACCATGCCACAATCTCACTGCGTACGATGACAGGATTAAAAACGCAACAAGACTCAAGGTAGATACCACAGAAACAACAGTCCTCACAGTACAGACACAGGAAGTCACCAATCCAAATTTCTTCATGCGGTAAGACATGCAGACTTGAATCCAAGCATAGACATTCCCCAGTATAAAGAATATACCTGCACCAACATCATGAACAGCTTCTACCTCAGTTTCCTACAGAAAGCAAAGATAAAACTCCAATATTTGATGCTGGTGATATTATTATACTCGAGATGGTACGGATTAGTCGAAAAGGAGTTTTTGTTTCCGTCGAAGAAATTATATGTCACCAAGGAAAATTTTCATCACATTCTTACGATTATACTGGAAAGAAAATTGAACTCAGCGACTAATTCACGGCCTCTCCCTTCTCTGTACTGCATGATTTATTGAACTTTCTGTTCTGAACCTTCGGCCTGCAAACCCAAAAGTCATGGAGATTGCACGAGAAAAAATCCTCAAAGAAATCCTCTGAAGATTTTCCAACTAAAATGGATATTTTTAAAAGGCTAGAAAAACAAATGTGCTTCGGAGGTATACGTGGATGACTGAGAGAAATCGATAATTCCTTTTAAATACGAAATAATTAATGGTGAGAAATAGTAAATGGTCGAGATGTTGGCGAATTCAAACTACAATTAAATTACAATGACTTAAAAATGAAATGGCAGAAAAAGTTGTTGTTAGGCAATTAAATATTATAGATTATAGTATTCGAATTTTTATTTTCAAAATGGGGGGAACATGACCTTCGATCGGATAATCTGAAGATTTGCTAAGAATCGAGTGTCGTTCCATGACGAAATCGCCAAATCGGGTGATTGATGGCAGGTGTATCATGCTTATCGATGTACATGCATGCATGCCAATTTATAGAAACTATGTTACTGTGGCCAATTCAGACCGCCTATGGAACTTTCCAGATACAATAATTTATAAATTATCTATTAGGTACTTCGGAGGTTATTGCAGAGCGGGCTCATTGATGCAACCACAGCACGAACAAAATTGCAAGATAATAACGTACGAGAACTTTCATGATAATTAATGCTGTCAATGGGGAGGAGAGAGTTTAAGGAGAGGAGAGCCTAATAAATTTTCTCTAAAAGAGGGCTTGTTTGAGGGATATTATTGATTTGCAGAAATTACACTCTGATGTTAGATGTTAATGCATATTATAAATATAATTATAAATAGGTTATCATGTTAGATGGCAGTTCTGGCCTCATTACCGCGCCCACAAATGGAAACACGTGCACATGGCAAAAAAAAAGGGACAATGCAGCTTTATTATTTATAGTGTGGTTCACAAAATAGAAAGTTGCTACTTATATAACAGACAGAACTTGCTCCTATTTATGGAGTGTCGTAAGAAAGTTTGCAAATTCTGGTCAGTTGTAGAAATTGCATGGTGAATGCATTCAATGTTTAGGTGGATATTTATATATAATAGAAACCGCATTTGTTTCGACATCCATACATATGGTTTTAACATAGAAGAATCAAGA